GAAGGGGAACAGCTCAGTTTGCATTGAACCTCTGCATCCTGCTGTATGCAGTAAAGAAAATCCACAAAAAAGCAGTGGCTTGAAAAATATATCAGCGATTGCTACTCTTTTGATGGGGCTTTGTTGCGACGTTGTTATCTTTCGAAATCAGGTACAGCGTTGACGGATTTGAATTTCGAAGTATCGACAGGAATAGAGGAATGGAAATAGTTTGTTTAAATCTGATAAACTGTGTGGATATTGGACTGAAAACTGGATTTGCTCAAAAATTATCATTTTCGAGCGTTATAGCTACTTAAAATTAACATTTCCAGTGCTGAAGGGCACTTCGTTCTTTAACAAAGGAGTAAACGTCACAGAACCGCCAAGATCCGAAAAACAGAAAAGAGTTGTGACTTTATCAGATTTCGCAAACCTTTTTTGTTTTCGAAAAAGAATATCACCTCCCAAGTTAGCCACTTACTTATGCCTCATATAAAAAATAAGCATCAGATCTTCGGAATAAGTACATTCAGAGAAACTAAAAATTGATGTTCTGATATGAAATTAGAATGGCAAATGCCTGTTGTTCAGATATGAATGAATATCAGTGTAAATCGGGTTTATTAATCTCCCATTTGCCTCTCTTTTCCTCATTTTATTTCTTCCTCCTATTTTTCCTTTATTGTAATAGCTTAACGATAGCTTTTTACATGTTTGATATGCCAAGAAAAAGGCGCAGGATGAGACCATGCTAAACTGACTCCAGGGAATTTCACTTTGTATTGAGGGTGATGTTTTTACAGAAAGTGGATCTCATTTCGACTATCTCATTGTGCCGCCATCAGTTACGAACATTTCGTTCATCCTTGTTATTTTTCCTATTTTCATCAATCGCCCTCTCACTGCAGCAAATTTTCTCGCTTTTTTTTCTCCGACCGAATATTTTCTCTTTGCCTCAGGTATGTTTAATATTATTCCAAGATATGCATGTTGCGTCCAGAAATTTATCTTTTATAGAAAACAGATCGTTAGCTTAGTGTAATGTAATGATTTATTTCTCGCGACAGGCTATAAAACCCTTACACGCAGTTAATACCAAAATAAACTAGAGAAAAATGCGATACAAAAAAAAACAAATGTACATGAAACAGAACTGATGTAATACAAAGAATACAAACCAACATACAGAGGTATGCGCCAATTTCAAAGGGCATTCAATGCAAACAGTACGAAATGGCTATTTTTGCATAAATCGGTTTAAGCAATTTGCTTATTAAGGTCCGATTTCCAGTAGTTGTGCTACTACTCCCATGAACACACAGTTGACATTTTGTTCTACTATTGATAATTCGTTGAAGCAAATTATTGTCCAAACGAGTAAACATGCGTTAAATAATTTTTTTGGAAAATTTAATCAGCTTGACTGGAGGTACCGCCCTTTGAAGAAGTTACTTTTAAAAGGAGTGAAATAGTCGAAAAGTTGTAGTTTGAAAAACGCTGTGATGGGGTTATTAATAATTTGTTAAAACACTACTAAATCTTTTAAAAAAATTTTTTTTCAAGAATGCTGTCCTGTAACGTTCGGGAGGAGGAGTGCCTGACTGGCTGCGGGGGAAGCGCTCCAGCAGCTGTGGGGATGTGCTCAACACCAAGCAACAGAACACACCCCTTTATTAGTACAATCTCAAAAAAATAATTGGAAAAAAGTAAACAACCAACTCCAAGCTGCCGCCGCGTATCTTCAGATTTTAAAACAATTACAATTATAATAACAATTACAGTGCAAACAGT